TTTTTTTAGAGTAAACTTGTTAAAAGAAATAATTAAGTTTAACAGTGTTTTTTGTAATTGTTTTGATATTTTCATTATTTTAATTTTATATTCTTAAACTTATAAATCGCCACTCATGAAATGCTTCTGGTGAGTGGAGCTCTTTTATTCGAAAATAAATAAATTCAACCAACGCAACACTAATGTTTATTACTTATTAATATTTTAAAGATATATCCACAATATCTTGGGCACGTTACTTTTTATAATTAGATTCAAAAGAATTTATCAAAATTGAATAAATAATAATACTAAAAATAAGTTAAGAATGAATCTCTCGCTTCCTACAAATACAAAATTGTTGGTTTATACTGAATCAATGACTTCGCTTTGTTAATTATAAAGCTAATTAAAAGTTGTATCCACTCTTTTATCAATGTATTTTTTATTTTTTTACTTCACTCAATGTAGAAAAATTTACAGTAAATTCGATAATATTTCTTTTGTATTTATTTTTATGCTAATTTTCCATATTTCAATTTTAAATTGAAAGCAATTGCCGTTTAAAATCACACCGGCTCTTAACTAAATTGTTTCGAGGCGCAAAGGGTCGCACACTGATCACTGCGTGATTATACCGTTCACATTATAACATCATGTGACCCCAAGAAGCGACTGAAAATAAAGTGGCCAGAGTGTCGCTTTGCTAATTCAGCCGCGTCCGTTTCGAATTGGCCTAGATAGCCGCGAATTCAAGCCAATTGCGCCGCATCAAAATTTTCCTTTTTCTTTAAATATTTATCTAAATAAAAAAAGGTACATCTGGGGTGAGAATAATAATTGATGCCTCTCAATTTGTGGCGTTATTTGGCGATTTACGAACGGAGGCGGCCAAATTAAAAGGCGCGGGAAAATTAAAAGATCAAAGAAAGGATTTGCTTCGATTATTTTTTGTCGGCGTCCTGGGTGGGATCGGAAAGAAAAATAATAAATTTATTTTTAAAATTAATAGAGGCTGCCGCGTTCGATTACAAACAAACGGCCGAAGACCTTCCTGCATTGCTGCGGCTTGCGGTTGGAAGGAAAATCCGAGATGATTTAAGAAGACAGTCCTTTTGTTTCCTCTTCAGGTTCTGCTTGGTCGAGATCAGAATGAAAGGAAGAAAGAAATATTATGAAAGGAATTGTCGGTCAAACGGCACATTTGATACTTGACTTTGAACTTTAGGAAAGTATCCAAATTAGAATTGAAAAAAAAGGTTTATAATATTGTTAGCTTTTTATAAAAAAATGACAAAATAACAAAATAACAAAATATGCACTAAAAAAAAACAAAGTGTAAAATTAATTTTAAATGTGAGGTAAATTAATTATTGGGACTTTTTGAAGCGTTATTCACGATTAAATTTGGAAATAGGGAAAAATCCATGCATCTTCAATAATTTTTTTTTTTAATTCGATGCTTTTTTGGATGATTTTTTAATTGGGTAAAAAAAACCGTTAACAAAAAGTTACTCGAGCACCGAAATAGTAAAATTAATAATGACTGATTTAATTAAATATTCAGCTCTAAACAACAATTTTTAACGTTTCATCTCTATGGATCTAAAATTTGGTTTTATTTTTCAAGTCCAAATATTTGTGAAAGTTTTTCATTTTTGTTTAATCATCATAAAATTTATGAGATTTCCCCATTATTTTTATGTTTCCACAGAGACTTTTCGAATTGCGTGCTAGAATTTTCCCCTGTCGGACAATTGCGCCTCAAATTCGACTTTCCTCCTGTTGCCGTGCAAAATTGATAGTAGATAAACGCGAATTGCTGCGACGACAACCCTCCGGACGGCCGTTCCGCCCTGCATCCCTCCCGGGGGCGATTTGCGTGGATGTCGGCATAAATACGTTTCGTTTTATGGCCCGAGCTAATCTAATTATGCGTCAAGTCCGCCGGGATCGACAGAGACACAAACGCACATCTGCTTGCAAAAAATTCCACTTTCGCGTGGTTGACGCCGAGTGGGTGCTCGAACGACCGAGGCAGATGGCCCACAAAGTTGTTTAGACAGTGGCGCGTTATTGATTTTTTTCAATGCAATGGAACTCTTTTTCTCTTAAACTAGGCGGGGAAGATTTTCTAGGTATTCATATTAATTTTCAAGTCTGATAATGAGAAATGTTATAATTTTTTTCTTAATTATATAGTTAAATTTAAATTTTATTATATACGTCTTTTTAATTAATTTTATTGTTTTTTTTTTCAAAATAATAAAGGTTGCAGTTTGTATTATGAAAATTGATAAGCATTTCTTTACTTTAAATATGTATGTACAACTTTTTGCAAAGTATCACAATACCATATTTTAACCCTTTTGATTTACATGAATGATTATAAATATTTCTAATGATTCAGAGAAAGAAAAACTCGGAGATCTCGGAGCTGGAATTTTTTTTTTAAATTTGATCCATGCACATAGTCAACATCATGTTCAAATTATTGTTTATCAATATTTTTTTATTACAAAGTAAAATTTTATGCTACAGTTTAGAATTTAGAAGGTGATACTATATTATTATAATAAACAATGAACTTTGGTAGTTTAAATAAAAAATTATTTTATATTTAAAATAACTTTAAAATTAAGAATAGTGTATAAAAAATGCAATAAATAAATATTTTTTAAGGTTAATGTTTTTAAATAATATGATATTATATTACTGAAATGTGAAAGCGAAAATAGTTAATGATTCTGCTTGCGGAAAGTTAATCCGGCTGCTGGCACTGCTGGCTGTGCTGGAAGCTGAGCCGCAAAGCGATTCGCGAATCGATTGCTCGTTCGTTCGCTCGCTCGTTCTCCCGCTTCAGGTAAAAGGCCATCAGATTAAACGAGCGCTTTAATAATTCCGCTCATCTGCCGCCCGATTGGAATTCTAATATGTCTGCACTGAAAAACCTTTTCATCGTTTTCAATTTCGCTTCCGTGAAAGGACCCGCGTGCTTGCTTAAGGTCACGTGCCCGCGTTATTTTGCAGTGTCAGTTCATCCCTGGGGACAAGGTAAACAAACAAACCCGCCGAGTTTGGAGAAAAAGTCACCGTCAACCCCTCATTTTAAAGCTGAACCAACATCCCCCTCGTAGATGGTTTTTCTTACAAAGGAAAAATCGTTAAATATTTTTGATCCAAAAAAGTGAATAATTTTGTTTAGAATAAGATGATTAAATTATTATCTGAAAAGTTAAAAAGATATTTTAAATTTAACTTGGTTTCAGGAATGTATGTATTTGAAATTTAATCTCTTAATCTTGAAATAAGCTGGCAAATTGAATCCTGTAAAATATAAGTTATCATTTTTAAAATGAATTGCTTAATAACCGTCCCTCTATTTCAAATTAAATTTTTTTGATTAAATTGGCTCAAATATATAACAATTAAACTTGCTAAAGCCCAGTATTTAAATAAAATTAATAATATCAACTAAAACTTTTAAAATTTTTAATATTTATTTTCTTACAAAATGTTCATAAACTATATTTAAAATTTAAATTTTTTTTTAAATATTGTTGTTTATTTATAAATTTGAATGTACTTACAGATTTCCCTCCCCCTTTTCTCTCTCTCTCCATTGATTGAAATTTTTGCAAGCTCCTGATTGACAGAGGGCGCACAAAAGGGGGCGCATTATTTAGCAAAAGCAACCCCCGCTCGTCCGTATTCAGCTGCGACAACAAAAAGAGATGCAAAATGAAAACAATGACGAAATAACTAACAATGCGCCTCTCTGTCGTGCGTTTCCATTCTTTGTTTGCCGCTCGCAAATTTAATTTACGCGCAGTCACGAACTCGTCAAAACAAAGAACCGCACAACGAATGGATCTTTCACGTAACAAGCTTGCAAACGAAGTTTTTCAATCAAATTTCGCTCGTCGAAAGCAGCGGCTTTTGCAAAGTTAAGGGGCCGTTTAAGCCGGGGTGTCGTGTCGGTTGCCTACCTATCGCTCCCCCGGGACCCGAGTATCTGCAGAACTGCTGCACTGCCGCCCCAACTTGAAGTTTGAACATGTTCCAACTCGTTTCCTGCTCATGAAGCGAGATGTGGTTAAAATTTTAGTTTCGCGAATTTAAAAAAGTCTGTGGAAGAGAAATTAAAATTTGAATTTATTTCTAAATTTAAAGGATAATTAATTTTTGCGCGTAAAATGACGTGACATTCTAGGATAATTTGAGTTAAAAAAGTCCTCAAAATGTCATTTTTAGAAAAAAGTTTCAAAGGATTATTAATTGCAATTCGTTTTTTAATTCATAATATTCAATCATTACAAAAATTTGTTTTTCAATTTTGCTGATTTTTTTTTTGTATTTTTCTTGCTCAGACCGTGACCGAAACTGGAAGAGCCATTTTTTTTTATTAAAAACTATTTTCGCAACGAGGAAAAGCCCGAACTCTTCATTTCCATGATCAATTTCTTGAAACAAAATCTTAATTGCGTAAAAATTATTCACTATCATTAAATTTTGCAGTTTCAAGTGAATTTCTGGTTTTTATTTGTTTGGCTCATTTTAATTTATTCAATAATACTTTCAGTAATTTTTTCAAATTTAACGTTATTCTTACATATACGTAAATTTAATATAAACATTTTGACACTGAATGATTTTCACTGCTCAATCTTTTTAATTGCTTTTCAACCTGCTCTGATGTAAATGAGACCAGTCGATTTCTTTATTGGACCGTAAATCACTGGTCGCGCAAGTCCAAGTTGAAGGATTGATTAAGTGCACAAAATGCATCTTCCACGTCGCTTCAGCTCGTTGGCATGCAAATCGCCTCGTAGTTGTGACACCCGAGACGTGAATAATCGCCTCCAGATCCTTTTTACGGTCAATATAAAGCAACTGAGCATTTGTTATCCTCCAGTGTAATTAGCGATTACTGCAAAACCACCGACCTGCCTGAACATGCAGCTGTTAATTATTTATTATTATTTATTTCTAACCAAGCCTTTTTTCCTTTTTGTCCGCAGTGTTATTAAGCGAACCCATCGAAAATGAAGACCTGCAGTTCAAGACGCTCAAGATCACGGATTTCGGACTGGCCCGCGAAGTGTACAAGACGACGCGGATGTCGGCCGCGGGCACCTACGCTTGGATGGCGCCAGAGGTCATCCGCGACTCGACCTTTTCTAAAGCTAGTGATGTCTGGAGGTAAGAGAAAGAAATTGTCTTTAAATTTTGAAATTGATTAGAGATATTTTAAAATTTTGGCAATCGCAGAGATGATGATGAAAATTACGAAAATTTTCATGATTTGTTTATTAAATGTTTGTTTTTATTCAATCTGTATTTTTTTTGTGTGAATATAAAACTATTTTTCGTTCACTTCTGTTTTTTTTAAATTTTATTTTAATTTATTACGTCAGTTGAATATTTTCAAATTGTGTGTTTTTTTTTTTTAAAACAAATTGTTTTATCTTTTTTCTGATTAGAAATTTTTAAGAATCGGCTGGTCAGCTTGATCGATAATAATGCGGATATTATCCAAAAGAATAAAAAACTGCTGAATGAATAACGTTTCCTTTTGACAAATAAGCAATAAACCCGTATTTGCAGCTACGGCGTTTTACTTTGGGAACTTCTGACTGGCGAAACTCCCTACAAAGGAACTGACACATTCACCGTAGCCTACGGAGTTGCTGTAAATAAACTAACCCTTCACATCCCCACAACCTGCCCCGAACCGTGGCGAGCACTCATGGAAGGTCTGATTTTATTTTACTTTTTTTGTATTTGCCAATTAATTTCTATTAATTTTTTCACAGACTGTTGGGCGCCGGATCCGCACATGCGGCCTTCCTTTGAGGAAATCCTGATAGCGCTGGATGGCATCGTCCACTCGACGTTTACGAAAACGCCACATGAGAGCTTCCACACGATGCAGGACAACTGGAGAGTAGAAATAGAAGACGTCCTCACTGGACTCCGAAAAAAAGAAACGGTAATTTTAAATTTTAACAAATCAATTTAATATTTTCGTCAAATCGCAGAATTCGGCTCATTCACTTGCACTGCGCTTATGTTTTAATTTTCAAAACGATTTCCATTTTAAAATAAATGGAAGTTTTTAAATTTTTTTAATTAATGCACCGCCATCGTTTTTCTTCTTTTCGATTGAAAGGCATGTCGTAATCGGGAGGAGGTGAGTTTTAAGTTAAAACAGCCCTCTAGGTGTTTTAGCTTAGCTCTCAATGTGGGGCAAGTGCATGCATCTTTCAGGAAGGGCGCCGACGTTTTATCATTAATTCATGTACATAAATAAAAGAAAACACACGCCACCCCTTTTTCAGAGAGCTCTCGTCTACCTTTGGGGCAAAAAGAATGAAACTGACGTTGAAAAGAAAATCATTATTTAGTCTTGAGATTAATTTCTTCAGAAATATCTTGCATATTCTGTAAATAATATATTGATAGAACAGTATTATGAAGTTTTCAAATGGGTATAATATTTATGTATTTTAAAGTTAATAATTTCTTTTTAATTTTAACCGTTTTAACAGCATTTTGTTAAAACTATATCAGAAATTAGGATTTATTTGTTTTTTAACTATAAAAGTAGATAAAAAATATTTATTTATTTTTTATTTAATAATAAAATAGCATCATATTGCTTTGAATTTTTGAAAGTCACAATCTATCGGAGAGGAAGGTCATAATTAAAATAAAAGTTTTTCTTTTTGTTTATATATATTTTGTCTGCTATTTTTATAAACTGCTGTAAATAAAATGACTAAATTCAATTAGTACATTCCTTCTTCTAGTACTGTTGGCGAATTAAATATTTAATGTATAGTTTACACATGTTTTCCCAAAAACAAAATAAATAATATGTTGAAACTTTGTTGGATATGAAATTTCTTGAAAATCCTTGATCAACCCTTTTTTTAAATTAAATTTTAGCAATATTAGTAATAGATATTTGTATTTAATTTTTTTTATTTTAGAACTTTTTTCAAAATTTTTGAATTGAAACAGATTCTATTGAGATGAAAACCCTATTTAACTAGACCAACTGTGATAAAAAGATGATTTTGAAAAAATGACTAACCCTTTTAAGTATTTACCAAAGGAATCACATTTCCACCCTCCACGTTTCGAACGTTGTAAATTTCTTACAAAACCTATAAAAATGTAAAAATTTCCAATAAAATTATGTCAGGAAACAAAAATTTTAAAGTTATAACTGAAAATTTCAGGAGCTGCGATGTCGGGAAGAGGAACTGAGCAAAGCCCAGCTGCACCAGAGGATATTCGAGCAGCACCTGCTGGAGAAGGAGCAGGAGCTGAAGGCGCGCGAGTTCGACCTGCTGCAGCGCGAGCTGCACATGATGATGACGGCGCAGCAGCAGTCGACGCCGACGCCGTTCAAGCGCAAGGGCAAATTCAAGCGGTCGCGCCTCAAGCAGCTGAAGAAGGAGCCCGGCCAGAGCATCAGTTTTCCCTCGGGTGGGTTTTTCAGGCGGCTGCTCTCGCCCACCTTTGCGAACGCGCACACCCGTCTCGAGCAAAGCACCTCCTCGGACGACCTCCCTGGGCTGCTCGCGTCGCCCGACGAGGGGGCGGCCGCCGCCGCCGCCCCCGCGGAGGCCGCCGCCTCCTCGTCGGCCGCTAAAAAGACGGAGAAACCGCGCTTCGGATTTTTCAAATGACAATATGATGATGATTGTTGTTGTGTGGCTTCACCCCCTTGTTTGTGCTGCATTTCCTTAATACCTGATTTTTTTCTCTTAGACAAAATCAATTCTCCCTTTTATTGTAAAGTTATTTTTATAATTTTTGTATACTCTTCCCCCATGACGTCTCCTTTTTTTTGGCTTTTAATATATGTGTAAAACTGTTGTATTTGATTAATTACGCAATTACTGGTGATGGTTGTGTGGTTTTCCTGAGAAATTATGGTTGTGGTTCGTTTGTTTTTTACAAAAACGGTTTAATAACACGTGCAGGTTTTGAGCTTTTTTTAGACTTCGGAACGCACCTGGTTTTTGTTTCTCTCACAAAACTCCTCAAAAGCAGTCTACAAAATAATTGCCTTGACCAAAGGCTTTCCAATTTAATATTTGGCTGTTAAAACTGACAATAATTAACCTCCTAATATTTTTTTATTCAAAATAAGGTAGGGTTTAATTTTTATCAGTCAACTGGAAATTTTTGGATAATAAAAATTAATCCAAAGTTTATAATTGTTAAATGAAATTACCTTTTCTAGTTGATGCCTCGATATTAACTTTTATAACCAACCTTGTTGTTTGAGTGAGAGTTGATAACTATTTCAATTATTCCATCCCTCGCCCTAAAAACGAGTGCTTTAGAGCTTTTTAAGTGTGGTCGTGGTCTGCTTTTACGTAATTCAATCGCACCCCCTGAGCTAATCTAGAGTAAAGTTATAGCGAGAATCTCCGCTCAGTTTTGCAAAATGGTCCCTTGAATTTCCGCAGATTTCCGCCACACGATCACCGTTCAGCACACAGGGGGCATGGAGAGGAAAGCGCGCACCGCCTCGAGCCCGAACAGTCCGCCGGGCTCTCCGAGCATTCCGCGGTTCAGGGCCATTGCACGTAAGTACCACAGTCAGAGTTCGCCACCCCCGACCACACAACCGTCAGAAAAACTCACGTCACGATTCTTTAAGCTGCATAAATATAATAGTTATTTTTAATGCCAAAAAAAATATATATATTTTAGAACTTATAGGCAACTGTTAGGAAAGTGTGGTATTTAAAATATAAGTTTATATAAAAATTTCAAAGAAAAATTTCACGCCATCATCTGCAATTGTCTTTCTTTCCGGCATGATTTTCATTTATAAATTCATCCGTCGGCATGTCAAAATTTGGTTGTTACACAGTTTTAAGGATGAATCTGTTGTGCTTAATTTAATTTTGCTAGCGAGTAGTTGAGAGCCATATCGAAATTATTGTTGTGCTGCCACATAAAGCGAGCCTTCATGTAGTAGACTTTTATTTTATAAAAAGACACAAATATCAACATTTTATGTTTTATTTTACCCGATTTTGTTTTCATTTTTTGCACCCCTTTATTATTTTAAGCTAAATTTGATTTCCATCGACCTGAAACTCACACCGGCCAGACTCAAAACATTTAATACTTTTGTTAAAAATTTGTTGTTCTAATGATCCGTTCCACCAGTCCCTGCCGATGGGGTTAAAGGCAAGACTTGGGGGCCGAGCACGCTGCACCAAAGGGAACGAAGTCAGATCTTTACCCGGGTGGCCGACGGAGGCCACAAGCGGTGGAGCAAAAGCGCTCCCAACCTCGAGAAACACGCCCGGAGCCACGCGGCCGCCGTGGCCGCCGCCGCCCGCGAAGGAGGAGTGGTCAACATCGGAACTCTACAGGAAATAGGTACCCAACCAGATTCTTTCACGGGCAAAAAAATTCTAAAAAAATTCTGGTGTTGGAATAAAAAAAAAAATTATACAATTTCTGCTGGTTGGTGTTGGCCTAACGATTTATCCGTCCGTCTCTGCTACTTATTTCAAAATAATAATTTTTAAAAAATATTCACTTCGAATCAGGTCGAAAGTTTTATCACATATAACTCTGATTTCGCTTTTGATCTTTTTTGGTTTTGATTTTGTGCACAGTTTGATTGAAACGTTCACTCTTGTTTGCTTACGTGCAGGCTATTCGCAGGAGTGCCTACACTCGTACAGTAAGTCTTTTACTAGTTTCGCACCTTTGCATGCTCCTTTCTAGTAGTCTCAAAATCCCACCCCTTTTTTAACACAAATTCAAAATTTCTAATCCAATTTTCAGCGCAAGATAAATGTTACAATTGGCTTTTTAAACGCTCTTTCTCAACCCTTTTAGCCGCCAGACTTGGACCCTGCAATTATTTCCCAGTTTACTAATTTTTTTTTTCTCTTCGAAATTCTTCGATTTCAGACTACGTAGAGAACGAGTGGGTGGATTACCCGCAAGGAGCCAAACCGCTCATCCCGATCGCCACTCTTTACAACGGCGCCGAGAAGAAGCCCAAATTGTCCCTCGTCGAGATGGTTTTGTACAACATGGCGGCAATGATGGCCGGAGTGGCCGCTGGTTACGACGTCCGGCTGTCCAATGTCTCTGCAATTCACCCCAAATTACATCCGGACAGGTGAAAAATACATCCAGATTTCATCATTCTGGAAAGCTTAAATAAAGTAGAAAATAATAATCAAAATTACTATAAAATTCTTTGAATTTCAAAGTTCTTATTATTTAAAATGCAGAGAAAGATCTTTAATTAAATTATAAGAAAAAAATTATGATATTATATAAAAATTACAAAATTGTAATTTAAATAGTAAAATAAATCTATTTTTGATTCTAGACTATTGTTGATAAAAATCAAAATTAAATTCTTAAAAGAGCAAAAAAGTTGCAAGTCATTTTATCGAGAGAAAAAATAGAAAAATAGAATATAATTTTTGGAATTTTTTAACCCTAGTTTTCTTTTTCTTAATGGTCGAATTGATTTTCTTATCATTCCAATGGACTCAAATTCACAGTTGAATTAAAAAAATATATCTTAAATAATTATGTTCAATTGACCTGCATCAAATTAATTCAATTATTTTATTCAGGGGCGAGGAGGAAGTGGATGAGCGTCGGTGGTGGTTCGGCGAAGGCGCGCCCGCCTACGAGTTCTCCACCGTCTCGGGCTACCCGCACAACACCTACCACGGGCCGACGAGGCACCTTCGGACGCCTTTGTCGCTCGACTCGAGGCCCCTGCGCTTCACCGACTCGCCGCAACACTATGCCATCGGCGGGCCGCCACCTCTGCCGCCAAACTCATCACACTCAGGAACTCCAGTGGCGTCGCCGCGGAGAAAATCTTCAAGTACAAGCAACGATGGCAGTGATGTAAGTTCGGTAATTTGTTTCAAAATCTGAAACACATAATTTGGTCAATTTAAATATTTATTACAAGGGCTTAGGCTGATAAGACGCTTTGTCAAATGTGAATTTTATAAATAAATTGTTAAATGACGAAAAATTAATTTGCAGGAAACTTTGACAAAGATAAAATACAATTTAATATAATTTTCTAAAAATTATTAATAAAATTCAAGTTGATACAAAAATTTTGTTGTTATTCCAAGGTATTTTAATAAATTTGAATTTTTTAATAAGGGTATTGCCAAATTTTTAAGTATTTTTTATTATAAAATAATTATTTTAATTACTTCAGTTATTTTTGTATTCTTTTACAATGACAATTTTATTTTTATATTTAAAAGTATTTTTTTTTTTAAATTTGTTATTTATTTTTAACTGCTTTAGTGCTCATATCTAAATATTTGTGTTTTAAACATAATTTAATCAAAAATTGAAATAAATAATATTTTGTTCCTTTGCAAAACATATGAATTGAGATTTGATACTTATGTACAATTTTTGTAGATCCAGATCCACGGGAAAGCCGTTGAAATTATTAATTATTTCATGTATCTAGAAATAGATTAATTTAATTTAAATAGCAATCGGAGAATTTTTTTTGACAATTTAAATTACTTATAAAAATTACTTGAATTTCAGGTGACTTATCCCCCTCCCCAAGCGATAAACGCCCCCACGATGTACGTCCCGGTGGAGTACTCGCTGGAGGACGGTCGGACGGTGCCGTACCTGGGTCAGTACGTGTACCGCGGCGACTCGAGCTACCTTTACGATCCGCGTGAGCCGCACCACGCGGCCACTTACCTGGAGACGCGTCCGACCTACGGCGCCGACTACGTCAACACGGGGGTGCACTTTGTCGACGGGTACCACGCGTACGACAACCCCAGCAGCAGCGTGAGCAGCTCGAGCACCAACCCGCGGACGCCGTCGCGCCTCTTCTCCGGACACCGCCGGACGCCGTCCAACGTGTCCAACGCGTCGTCCACCAACACCAGCAGCAGCAACGTCAACCCCAGTTTCCGCCTGGAGGACGAAGACTCGCAGTACTCGACGCCGTCGCGCTCCAGACACTTCGAGCCGGCGCCGCCCTCCGAGTACACCCCCTACTACCTGCGCCAGAACTCGGCGCCCCTCGACTCGGACAGGCCCGGCACCCTCGAACTGTCCGGCCAGCGGCTCCGCTCGCAGCTCCGCAAGTACAGCAACTACGGCAGCTCGTCCGCCTCCAAGCCGCCCAGCGGCTGGGGCTCGGGGGCTGGAACCCCGACCAACCCCACGCCGCCTGACAGCCTCACCAGCGAGGACAGCAGCTACGTCTCCGCCAAGGAAAGCACTTCCTCCAGAGTCAGGTACTTTATTTTTTTTTTTCAAACATTCCTTTAAGATTGAAGGGGTTTTGGACGCAACAATTTGTGGTTATTCATTATTTCACTCTTAAATTGATTATTTAAAATTTGCATCAAAACTTTTCCTGTGAGTTTGATTCTAATTTTCCATAGTTAATCATAATTTGGGAAAGAAAGAGCTAATTTTATACATACATTTATAAAAAAATATTTTTATATTCAATCAAGCAGATTGACAGAATATTTTATCAATTCTATTTAATTAATTTATTTTACTCCAAACAATAAGTTAGATTCTTTTCCTCAACTATTCTGGGCCAAAATTTGAACGCTAAGCAACTTTCTAATCACATCAAAGACCGAAGTTTTTGCTATATTTTTAAAGAAAAACTAATATTTTAAATCAGATAGTTAATTTCTTGACGAAAATTTCATTGAAAATTTTTACTGTTATCAGGTCATAAAAATGCAAAATTCTAAGTAATTAGCATTCAAATTTTTGCGTCCAAAAATCCTTTTATCATATTTGTTGTATTTTATTGGAAATTAACAAATCATTTAAATAATTGGCAATGCATTTTCCGAAAATTTTTGATCCAAAAAGAATTAAAAAATTTCATTTTCTGCCTTTCAAAAAGTTCTGTGCTTTTTATATCAAAAATCATTCTTTTTTTATCTATCTTGTGAATAATTAATGAAAATATTTCTTCTCAATGATGAGTTCGTTTCTACTACTGGAGTAACATTATTCCGGTAATTTCATAATCTTTGCATGCTTCTCATTTGAAATAGAATAAGAATAAATAGCATAGAAGCATGGACTTAGCAAGTGAATATATTTTTGTCTCTTACTTTTGGAATAATATTAAAATTTTAATTTTAATTAAATTAATCTTGATTTATTTTTCGCCAATTTCAAGACAAATTGAAATGTTTATAAAAATATTTTTCCATTCCAAGTGATTCTAATAATGTAATCTTTTTACTGTATAAAGAGGTACAAGAGGAATGAAATGATAATATCCCAATTTTCTGAAAAACAAGAACTTTTCCTATTAAAATTTCTGCCTGAAAAGAATTTTCGATAAGAACATCACTTCTTACAACAAATTTAATTAATTGTTGTTTATTCTTGACAAATCAAGTCAATGGAAAGAAAATTAACTAAAATAAATAAATTAAATTGAAACTGCTTTTAGCATCTAGTTTTTTTTTTAAAACTTTTCATTTGAAAATGAATTACAAATTTTAAATTTCTCTTTCATTTTTGTTCTCGGAACAGATTCCTGAACAACATGGGCTCGGAGACGCTGCTGGACGTGCCGGTGCCGACCGTGGACAGCACGGTGCCCCTGCAGGCGTCGGCGTTGCGCAACATGCGGCTCAGCTTGTCGCAGCGCAAACCTTCCATCACGGAGCTGGAGCGCGAGTTCCTCAACTCCTAGCAATACGCGCGGGGGAGCAGAAATGCTTCCCCGCACCGCCCGCTGAGGAGTCGGTCCACGTCGGCCACCAGGAGACGCCTCGCTGACAACGTCCAGTGAAAATTCAGTGCGGACGAAGCATCCCAACATATTGGAGGAAACAAAAACTTAACAGGCACTCGGACAAAGTTTCAAAAGTTCTTGCCAAAAAAGTGCTTTTTCAAAAAAAAAAATGAATGTGAATCAAAAGGAAATTTATAAACCGATCGGCCGCGGCGGACTTTTCACTTTTCTCCTACAGTATTAATTTATTTGGCGTGCAATCTTAAAATTTAATCACAAATTAAATAAGGTAATTTGTTTAATTTCAACTGTCATAAAAATTTGACACAAGAAAAATTATTTTTGGAAACTTCTCCTCCTGTTTAAAAATTGCAATCAAAGTAAGTCTTTCTCAAAGGACGCCGCGTCAGAGTGAGTTTCGCCTATTTTACTAGAGTATTTTTTACGAGATCGATGCATGCCATGTTGTGGTAAATAATACGGTTTAATAATCCATTATTGTTAAGTGAGAACGGCCGTCTTCGGTTGGTGAATGGAAAATTTTGAATCCCAGTATTGCAATTTATTGTCACTGAAAAAAGAAAAGACAAAACCGAATCATTCTGAGGAGTATTAAATAATAATATTATAATCGTAAACAAAAGAGATATTCCACGTACGTGTCACTTCATTTTGCATAAACCACGTGGGCCCTGAATGTGAAGTCTGTGGCTATAATCTCCGTTTTCATTGGACCCTCAACCGAGTAATCCGCAACACTAAGTAGCCTTTGTGATAAAAACAAATCCATGTAAAACCTTTAACACGCTGATATCATTTTTGTAAATTTCCACAATGCGTATAATCGAGGCCTTATTTCGACATTCTTAAAGCTTCTCTCCGTGGATGATTTTTATTCTCGAATGCAAAATAATAAATCTCATGACCAAGATCCAAATATTAAAAATTTTAACTTCTTAAGCGTTGCAAGGGAGGTTCCTTTTTGCACCAAACACATTTAAACCTTGAGAAAAACGTCTGTCTTGGTTGCTGGAGCACTAAATTCAACCAATTAAGGAAGTTTCTATACTTCTGGACAGAGCGACACTTCACTCAAGGATTAAATGCTTTTGGCGGGAAAATGTTTCAACCCTTAGAAGTTCAAATTTTTCGATGTTAACCATTTTCATGAAATTTCATTTTTAATTCAAAAATAAATATCATTCCTGGTCAGACCCTTTAAAATTGAAGTTTTGGAAAAATAACGAATTAATTTTCGTTCACAATCATAACCCATTGCCTTGCAAGAAAATAAGGAAACTTTACATAGACACTATGTATATTTTGAGAGAATTCCATGAATTATCAAAAATCGTGCTCATGAAAATTGAAGAGGTGCATTTCCACGCAAATATTTTCAGTTCTTTTGAAAACGCCTACCTAAAGATGAAAAAAAAGACACCTCTACCTATATATTTATTTTTGTGTAAAATTAAGCAAGACTTAATGAAATGGCAACAGCACTGGAACCAATTCTCAAAAATTCGCCTGTACTTTTTGTGCTGTTTGACCTCGTGTTCCGTTTTTTGTCGAGTGAGTATGCATAATAATTATAATTACTATTTTACAGTGTTTGCTGATATGACTTCAAACGTGTAAATAGTTTGCGTCGAGAAACTCTGTTTGCTTACTAGTCTTACCTTGTTTATTCCAACCAAGGAGGGAAAAATTGTGAATTTTTTTTTCCAACTTTGACATTCCCTCTTATAAAAAAGAAAGAAAGATTTTCAGGCGCCATTTTTTACTTAAAGAAAGACAAAACCTACTGGGATAAATAATTGTTTTGGTCTTAATTTTTTTTTTGTCCACTGAACATTCCAATTATGTGATTCGTATGCCGTCTTTTGCTTAGTTCTTAAGTGCAACATCGATACGTACTTATAAGTTGATTTTTGATTAACATAATTTATTGTGGTGTGGATTTGGAGAGGATTTTACCCGTGGTTAAAAAGTAAAACGACTGAGCTTTCAAGTTGCAGCAAAACTACTGGCTCAATTTCTTAATACACGAATGATTCAATTTTTTTTTTTATTACTCGTACGTTATTATTTAGTTTTTATTCTTGTTTTGTGTTTCGTCAGAAAACTAATTTGTACCAACAACAGTCTCTTGTAAATAAAAATAGCAGCCACTGTGTTACATTTATATATATCGACGATTATTACCATTTGATTTGTGCTGTCTGCCATTTTTACTTTCGACTGTACATAAATATACTAACTTGAGACGAGTTCTTGTGCGACATTGATCGATGTAAATAATTATAAACCTATATTCAAAGAAAAAGACATCTTGTGACCATATGTTGGAAAAGATTAATTTATAGGGGTCATGGTGATAAAGCAAAAATTTACTAATTAATGAATATGTAAAAAAAGCAAGCGACACACAAAAGATATGCAGAAAATAATAAATGTAATCTACCTTTTCGGCAAGAGGAGGTGAGATGAGCGAATTGAAAAATTATAAAAAAAAAATTATGATGAGATACAGTCATGTTAATTTTTAAAAGTAATAACACATGAATATAATCTAATTCGAAATAAAAATGCCAAAACTTTTAAAAAAAATAACGTTTTTTATTTGGATTTCAACTTGAGAAACCAACGCACGAAAAAGTTAAGTGATCAACAAATTTTAACAAAAATTTATAAAAATAATGTTAAATTTTTCAATGAGGTTTAATTTGTTATTAAACAGAAAAAACTCTAAATTTTAAACCAAAATTAGTAATAAAAATTTATTTATAATCATAATCACATATAATTTTTGGAAAATTCAAAATTAAAATATAAGAACCAAATAAATTGTTTTTAAACTTTTTAAGTTTTTTTTTTAAATTTATTTATTTTTTAAATTGCAAGAGGTTTTTCTCCTTGGCCTTTTTTAGCTAAGTAAGATGTGATGATAGAGCACGAAGAAGGCTGTATTAGATCAAAGAATTATGGTCTGCTTTGTTGCAAATAATAACCTGGTAAGGAGGATGTTAAATTTAGTTTATAGTGGTTTATAGGAAACTGCTTTTTGTAATAAATTTATTTATTTATTAATCCTTAGTCTGCAAATTATTACATTTTTGCAAATTTTATAAAAAAAATTGTTGCCCTTGAATTTAATCATTTTAATACTTTCCGCTGGATCAAACGTTAATTACTGTTTCGTCGGCACACATTAAATAGATAAGTTAACGTAATCAAATTTAATTTGCGCAAATTTGCTGAGCGACTCACTTGGTAGTGCCCCACTTTTGCCGGACACAGATAAGATCTGCGATGTGATTTAATCTTTCGCGACTTCCATCCATTCTGTCACACTTGAGAAAGTAGAATGCCAATAGTGATTGTTCGCGAATCACTTTTGTCGCCAAACTTGAGGATGAAATATTTTATTTTTGACCATTTTTAAAGTCCTTTAATTACATTGTTTCAATCATTGTAGGAAATGAGCAGAGAAAAATATAGATGTAGGCAACCTGCACGACAAGGAAGTCGTGATAATTGCATAACCCAATTTAGACCCAGGTAAAAATTGCAGGTAAAAAATGTACGAAACGTTCTGTATGAAAAAAATAAGCAAGCATTTTTATTCTTGACATCTAAAATTTCTAGATTTCCGCTATTTATAAATGTGAAAATACAAAATATACGCAAATTCGTAAAACAAAATCAGATAAAAAAAAAAAAACACTAAATTGATTGAAATTTATTTCTGCTTATATGATGTATTTTTATCATTTTATTGGAAATAAAAATAATCTGCATTGACCTTATATGTAATTCAATACAATTCAATAGCATTGTTATAATCAAGAAAGATTGTATCTATTCAATTTTGAGAGAAAGATTATGTGATGTAAGCAGCAAAATAAAAAAATTTTGGCGAGGGGAAAAATATAAATTGGTCCAGCGTGAGGCTGAAGACAAGCGACCAAAGAGTTGCAAAAACTTCAAGAATTGGCTTCGGTTGCTTAATTTTCAGAAATTTGATAGAAAAAAATTATGGAAATACGACCATAATTTAAGTTTTCTTCACCATACATTCAATTGTGTAGAACAAATTCATACCAAAAGGTGTTAAAAAATATAGATTTTTCACTATGACATCCAAATTGACTATTTATATTTTATATTAAAAATAAATTAAGTAAAAATAAAAAAAGACAAACTCCACTTGAAATAAATCAGCTCTTTTTAAACAGTATTTTATTTGAAAATTAATTTCTGAATTAATATCGTTTTTGATGCAGGAACGTCCTTTGAATTTTTCACTGTGACAAAATTGTGTTGATTGCACTTTGTCGAACGTCCCTGGCCGAAATAATGAAATGGCGGTAGCGGCTGTGGCGGAAAAGTGAGCATCTCAGCAGATAGTAGGGTGGGCGGTCGAAGTGGCGAAAAGTGATTAGGCGCGAGATTTGCGGCGATCGAGCCGAGAGGAGTGCATCGTGGCGAGAGGGAGGACGTCGGAGGAGGCGCACGTTCGGCCCAAAAGCATCGCGCCGCGCTTTGTGTGCTTGCGGCCGCTGCCTTGTCACCATGATCACCCCGTCCTCAAGTGCACCCAAGACCACTCTGCTCGCACTTGTCACGCTGCTCATTGCAGGTGAGTCCGAACGACCCCTCGTCTCTCTTTGCTCTTCGCACTCTCCGCGCCGCGCGTGGCCGCCGGCCAATCTTTCTTCTCTCGCCCCGGTGCAGTCTCGCGATTCATTCACTTATTTATCTGTTTTCTTATTTGTTCGCACACGCGGCTTTTAATTTATTTATTTTTAAACCGTTTGTCGCGCAATTTTTTTTTTTTTTTTTTGTGATATTGACCTCGATTTGCAACTAAATTGTCAATATAGTAAAAATATGTGATTAAATTTTGAAAATGCACCGACTGATTTTTTCCATCACACTATTTCATCGCATACAAAGTTTATCCAGGATTTTATTTCAAAATTTTCCAACATAGTTTTTAATTAAAAATGAAATTTTGGCTTTTTGGCATTCTATATTTGAAAAAAAAAAAATTATTTCATTCCATTTTCACATTATGATTTTTGTTTTACAATACAAAATAATAAAAAATTTCCATTAAATACTTAACATTTTCCATTTTAAGAACTGCAGAAGCTAAATGAAATTTAAGGTACTTCGCAATTAAGTTCTTTCTAAAAATAATGGCAGGATTGATTTTAATGTTTCATTGCTAAATAATATTGTTGCACAGAACCATTAAAAAATAATTAAAATAAATCAATGTGAAAAAAATTCATAAATTATCCATAAAAGGAAACGAAAAATGTTAAATGTATAACATAAATTAACAAAATCTATTTGAAAATCAAAATTTTATTTCTGCATTCAAGACTTAAAAAACATGCACCGTTTCAATTAGTAAATCTAAAATTACAGAGAATGATAAAATAAATTAATGAAAATCTGCTATATGGATATTATGATTTTGTTTTTATAATCCATAAAGGGAATCTCTTTGTCACTTAAGGTTTCTATTTGAGACGCTATAAAAAAATTTTATAGAAATTTAAAAAAAAAATACATAAATAATATATTATTAATTTGATATTTGCATTAATTTTCAATATAAAATTCTGTAACTTTTATTTTTTTAAATTAATTTTGTCTTGTAAATGAAATTTTTCCTTTATTGTTTCTATTTTAAGTAAAATTTATTAATGCAATTCACGTAATGTTTGAATTCCCACAGTTCAAATAAACTATGACACAAGTATGCATAAAATTCTCACTATTAAATCATGTTTTCATTTTTAACTCCAATGATCTTGGAAGAAAATACGCTTCTTGCGTGGCTACTGAAAACATCCTGATAAACGGATTCTCCACGCACTGCTTCTCAGGCTTCCAATACAGTAAACAGAGTTTGCTGCCTTACAGAATTAGACCTCTTATGAATCTTCAAGGGGATTATTGGCCAATACACTGTTTTGCACAAAACATGTTATGTAATTCTATAAATAAAGAGATTGTTATAATTTAAATATTCATTTTTTGTTTTATTTTTCATATTTTTATCAGTTTTGTGAGACTGTGCCCTTTATAAGAACAGAAGGGTACAACTTAATTTAAAAATTATCTTTTTTGCTGGCACATCCTCACTTAATGATCCACGCGATGATGACGAATAAAGATGAAAACTAAAAAAAGAGAACTTAAAGATTTTTAAGGATGATTGATTATGGTTGGAGTTGCGAAAGTTCAGATTTTGATATTTTTTATGTTAAAAGGAGTTTAACTGAATAATTAATATTTGTTTTGTTAATTGTTTAGTGCGCTGCAATTTGTGTTTATTTAATATTTTGTGATTAATTATTTTGCTGCATAAAATCTTCATTCAAATTGCTCCCATAGATGAGACCTAAATTTACCAAGTGGTAAGGTCAATTTCTTAATAATTTCATAACCTTAACTACGCATACAACACATACTTTTATTTTCTCCAAAAGTAAAAATAAAATATTTTAACGGAATTAGCATCCCATAAAATTAACATTCACAATTTTGAATAAGAAAAAATATTAAGTAAATTATTAATAAAATTTATGTGTAATAATTATTAAATCGTAAAAATATTATGTTAAAATGAACTAAAAAATTATATTATCATTGATTAACTGTTTTTTTTTTTAGCATAAGAGTTACATAACAAATTAATTAATGTAATAAAATAGTTAGGTTTTGAAACTCAATGCCAAGTTAACAGACAATATTTAAATACTTTAGATGAACTAGTTTTAATTATAAAAATTGAATACGATAACAAAACTTCACTTAAAAATCTTTTTATCAATGATTTCATAGCTTCTTTATTTTGTTCTTTCGTTTGAACAACTTATGAACCTACGGAGAGATTTTAAATTAGATTTCCAAAAGAAGTTGCAATAAAATTTGTTTGCATAAAACTTTTAAGTCCCCTTATTTGTTCCAGACATGCTGAAAGAAAAGCCGTACTTTAAATTTTTATTCATGCGTGAGGTCACAAAAATACGTAACCTTTGGAAATTTTATATCTAATTTTACCGCTTAGGCGCTTAAAATAGTTTTCTTTTGTAACATCACTTACTGCGGTCATCAGCATTTTACTCGCACTTTTCCCACCGACGCATCCAACGCGTAATCCGATTTGCTTACATTTACACGGAAATAGATCTAATTTAGCGTGTACGTGATGGAAACCGATCAAGTGCGTGCCCCTTTATATTCTCTCTCGACACGCCGACCTGTCGCAACAGTTTTCGATCCCCCTAATATGCAGGAACTATGCTATTATTATATACACATCTGATTGTTAATTCGCTCGGGGGAGCGTCAAATTGCGAAATTATTCATATTTATATATTTATTAGAGCCGCACTCTGCTGAAGTGACCGTGACCCTCTCTCGTGCGGTCACTCTCTCTCAATGCAAAGCCCAATTGACCCCAGTGCACTCGGCGCGTATGGCTCATCTCGTCTATAAACACACGGCCGATGGATGTATAACTTGATTTGCATAACGTGTCGATGTCGTTTGATGCGATTTATAATGCTGATAGATGGGATTTGGATTTAATTCATCTGTTTGCAATCCCTATCGCAAACGCCGACGGGAGAGGTTTAACTATGATCAACTCTACACTGCTATAGAGATTCTAATTAAGTGATTTGATTGATTGATTGAGATTCATATACGTTAATTAGAGTAATTTCCGCTTTTTATATTAATAATTAATATAATTAATTGAATTTGTCTGTTAATTGTTTATGCAATTTCATTGAAAAATAGAGAATAAAGAAAAAAATATATGATAATTTGCACAGTTGGTCGAAGGGAACAACCGTGTTATCGGCCCTTAATCCTTAATTGGGAACGTGTTATCAGCCCTTCAGAATCTTCAAAATTTGCAGCCTTGGCTGCTACTTGAAGAACCACTTATACAAGCGGTAAAATTTAATAAAAATGCACTATTTAATTATAATTATAAAATAACTATTTTAACTTCAAATTTAAATACTTTATTTAATAGTTAAAAGCTTCTTCTTTATTTCATCAACATTTGTACAATTGAATTAAAATCTAGTTGAAAGAAAATGGAGTTTGCTTTCAGCGCAGTCAATGCAAGCCCAATGAAAGACTGAGAAGACGCTACTTGTCTTGGCCCATTCCTAAATTAAAGCAGTTAAAAAAAATTAGGATAATTAAAATATTATCAATATGTATTTTTTAATATATTTTTATTTAGCTTAATGAGAAGCATCCTGCTCATAAACTATCTTGAGCTGTCAAATTTAATATATGGGTACGGAGAAAAAAAGTGAGACTGCGTGCAATGAGATCACTTATTATTTCATTTGCTCACCAGTTCAAAGTTTATCTTGCAAGATAAAAAAAAGGCACATCATAATTTCACCAGTCTAAGCATTTGGGAGAAATTAACATTCAAAAAAGGAAAACGTCTTGACAGAGAAAGATTAAAGAGATTTTTTTACATGTAACGTAAAAAACAAAACATGTTAAATTTAAAATATTGAAAAAATTATTCTTACGACTATGAATAATTCAATATCTTTATACTCATTTTAAACAATTCCAATCTAAAGTTATGAATTTTGCACCTCGATCAGTTCATATAAATTATTTTATTAATAAAGAGAAAATTTATCATCATCACTGATTAATTACTTTTAAATTTTTTTGCACCGATGATTGCAAAAAAATGAGATCAGAGATCATAATTTCAATAATATGCCCATTAAATTATTTTATTGCTGCAGTAAATGATATATTGAATAATCTCTTCAGATCTTTTGAGACTTTTTACTGCACGTACGCACTTGTGTAAAGACGGATGAATCTTTCGTCGAGTCTTTTGCGATGGAAATAAACTCGCGGCACTTTGCTTATATTTATCTGATGCAACACGTTACTTTCTCATAATGAACGGTCTCAGTGGCATCTTTACTGACGCAATCGCTGCAAACGCCGGCCAATATACTCTCAATTAAAACTGTGCGCGCTTTTCAAAGAGCCTCGTTAGCGGAAATTTATATTTTTTTTCTGCACCGCGGCCCTCCCGTCACTCAAGAGCAGCAACCGCCAATAAAGCGTATAACGGTTCGGGTCTATTTTGGACTGGAGAGGAAATTTTCGGCCGATTTTACGATTACTTGGAGAACGCCCACCAGAATACCAGACGTAAAAGCGAAAAATTTGCGGTAATTCGCTTATTTTCTTTAGCAAAATCTTTCTCCTTTGACAACTCGGCCTCATTAAAGCCGAAAGATGAAAGGGCAAATAATAAAAAAACGACTTTTACTGGCTTTTGTTTCACTACTTCTTGTGTACAATAGAGCCGAGCAGCACCCGATCCATTTATCTCTGGGGTGCCAATTTCGGAGCGTATTCCAGAAAGAATAAGAACTGATGAGGATTTAAGGGGAGGGCGTCGGTGGGTGGGCTTAGGTACGAAGAAGCGAACGGGGGCGAAGATTGATTGAGGGGCTTGATGGCACATTGATAACAATCAGCCCACCAATTTAAATATTTACACTGGGGGATGACGAAAATCAGAAAAAAGGCAACACACGCGAAGGGATAAGCTTTTCGGAGAAAGAGAGAGTGGAAGAACAAACTTTGGTTAAAAGGGACGCTAACGAGGGATTGCAACCGTTTCCCGAAATTTATAAACTAGCCTTCCCAGGAGATCCGAGGACATTGGGGACTCTGCCACCGAGGTAAATCCATCGGAGGGAAAGAAAAACTGCTGAAATTAAAAGAAACATATAAATAAAGAAGGGAACAAACAATTCCACTCCCGACGGTTGCTATTTTGTATGCAAATTTTTTAGCACTATTGAACACATCCAAATATTATTTAATTAAATATTTAATTCATCAAAAGATCTCGTATTATGGTGCGTATATTCTTTTCATTTAATTTGATTATCTTATATTATAAGGAATAATTTCATAATGATCGAAAGAAGACCTTTTTGTTAAAACCATTATGTAAGATTTCCATTTTGGGGTACTGAAGGTTTTTTTATATTTATATATTTTATCTTTTAAGAATAACAAATAACAAATTGAAAAGAAGAGAGAATTTTAGAGATGTTCATAGTAAAATTTAACTTAACATCTAAATTAAATTTATTAAAGAATTTAATAAATCTGTAAAATAAAAATATACCCGGAAAATGTATAATTATTTAAAGGTATAATAAGATTTTGTTAAATATATACATTTTATTTTTAAAAAAATTTAAAACCCAAAGAAACCACTCGGAACGGGAAATAATTTGATTTAGTACGTAATTCCACGTAAAAGGCGTTTAGTCATAAGTACTAAATCAAAATATATTAATTACTTTACAAATAATAATAAATGAAAATTAATTTTATTAGGGGGAAAACCTCATTGCATCCCTTTTCATTGATAGAAAATATCCCTGAAGCTTATTATGGAATTGAGAACCAATAAAAAATTTCACAGATCATGTCAGCCGCCAAATCGGCGCGCGAGCTTGTAATTTAGCGTCGTGTGAGGTGCCACTGAAAAATTTCTCCGAGATTTATGCCGCCCGCGGTCGAGACGCTTTTGTGCTTTGCTTGAACGTGGTCCAACAGTGATGTACATTTTCCACGTGTGCCAAACACTTTTTGACGGCTACTCGATCTTTCAGCAAAGCGCACGTCAATCAACGCAGAGGCCGAAAATCTAAACGTTTTGCCTTTTGTAAAAATAAATGCGCGTTCATAACCTTGGAGCAAAGTCAAGGTGGCATTCGAAGAGGGACACACGCGTCAGATGATTTGCTGTCCCATTTGGACGCTTCATATGAGAAGTGGAGACAAGCCAAATTTTTCGAAACGCAACTTCACACGTACCTAAGTACGCGGCTTATTATTTGGCGTTGGTGCGAAGGAATGCGAAATGTGATGCTGACAGATTGCACAAGGAACAGCGTCTGGTGTATTTATAAAATAATGAACCTCTTTGAATGCAAAGAGAGACTTTCTTCGTGCGGAAAGAAGTCAAGATATTTCTGACAAAAAATTTATAAAATAAACCAGAATGAAGACGAGCATAAAATCAATTTAATTGAAATTTATTGGAATTAACCATTAAACCGAATAGAATTCAAGCTATTTCTGATTTTGTTTTACACTTTTCAAAATGATATTTTGATTTCCTGTCAAAACCTTCATTCATCGATTCCATTCAAACTTTCACAAATGTTCCAACTTGGCACGGATAACCTTAAATATTTATAATTTTTTTTACGGATTTAATTTACAGTTTATAATATTCAGTGTTTCTCAACACACACATTGACCATTTAATCGAATTACATTGTATAATAATGTAATTGAATGCTGGTTAAAACTTTTATTATTTTTTTTTATTTAAAGCAATGATATTCAGAATTTTGATGTTTTGTAATTGTATAATTTGTTTTTAACTAATTTAAAATAGAAAATAAATATGAATTATAAAACAATTTAATTGTTAATCTTTAAAAGTTTTAAATAACTGAAGGAAATAATTAAAATAAACGGGTTGTTGTAAAAATTTAAAACACTTAAATCGTTATATTGAGATATCTTTTAATTCTGTAATCAGCGAAATCTGTAGTTTTCATCTATTTTCCTCACTTATTTAGCATAGTCAGTGTACAATGTTAGTTGAATGTAATGAAATAAAAAGTTAAATTTAACAAAAATTATAAATATAAATTTATTTGTTTCAATTCCAAATGTTATAACTATTCCATGCTAATTTCTGTCATAGAATGAAGACAAATCGAAAGGTTTCCCTTGTTATTCTGCTGAATTCGGCTAAAATTTTAAGCTGATAAGGCGTAAATTTGAATGTTCATCTCTCACATCTAACCATGCGACGTCCATCAAAAGCACAATATATTAAAATATACAGGAGGAGGATTAAAAAAATTAATTCTGCCTGAAAACGTCACGTGCCACTCACCTTTAGCCTTTCACGTTCAAGATCTAGAATCTAGTTTTCATAAATTATTATACAATTCTCCTAGGGGAACTCAAACCATTGCATAAAATCTGCATATTTATCTCTACAAGTCCCCTCGGCGTCTTTAATTAATCACCCCGACGACAATAAAGCGAATTCTAGATGCACATAAATAATTATATTGTCGTCTCATAAAATTATCTCTGCAGCTGACGCACAAACACAATACGTGTTTCTGCAAATGAAAAGAGAGGTGCAATTAATTACCAGAGGATTTTCTTCTCTCTCTCTTTCCCGCTCGTTATGTGCCGCGTGTGTCATTTGCGAGATGAGGAGAAAAGATGCTGCGCCGCCATGCTTTTCATTGAAATAATATACGCGGCAGGTGCGCGTGAATGGAAAATTTTCTGCGACGACGCATAATTCTGTGCATCTCTCGTCGAGGTTTGGGTTATGATCGCAATCACTTCTTTTAATTAAAACCCGAAACACCGAGAGGAGGGGAGTGTTTTATTGTGCACACGTATATGCTTCTCTTCGAGGACAAAGCTTTGAACTTTCTATGTTATGCGTTGGAGAGAAAGATTAAAATGTAAATAAACTCACAATATTCATTTCGAGCAGCAAATAAAAGTGCAATCTGCACTTCTTGCGTGTGTTTTCCGTCTAAACGAGACCTAGGGGAATTTCAGTTTGAATTTTGTTTGTTATCTTTGCGGAGACGAATGAGTTGTAAACACACTTTTAATCGTGCAGCGGCGCTCCTCCTGAAGAAGTTTGTTTTATCCATGCCGCGGGGTTCTGTTGCTTTGGCGGAGATTGAGAACGTGCCGTTTATATAAACATTAAAATCTAATTCGTCTTCCACCGCAAATAAATTAGTTAGAGCTGGATTATTTTAGTACTGTATTTAGTAAAGAGTGAAAATTAATGTCATATTGCGTAGCATTTTTATTTTTAGTGTAATTATTTCCATCTTGTAATTGACACATGAGGCAAACACAAATGGTCACACAATTTTATTTATAAACGTTACAACTGATCTATATTGAGTTTCGTTAAAAATTAATAAAATTGATAAAATGTTTAAATTATTAAAATTAATTATAAATAAACATAAACTGTGTGTACACATTAACATAAAATACAACATAATAAATTTATTAACTTTAAACATATAAACAAAATTTTTTTTAAAGGAAAAGAAAAGTTTAATTGTTAATTAATTATATAAAATATGACTAAAAATATAAAAGTTAAATTTGTTTTTAATAAAATTTATGTAAATTCAAAATCAAAACAGCTGTTATTAGCCAAGAGGTCAAAGGGCAGTGGGTTTGCTCATGAAATAGGGTCATACTGTGACCAAAACTGGCAGAGCCATTTTTTAATCAAAGCGTTACTTTTATATTTATGTGAAACTGCGGATCAACACACAAATAACGACATTTTGAGGTTTCTGGTCTTACAGACTTTTTTAAGATAATCTCGCATAGTTTTAATATAAATTAATTTGTTAGAAATGAATAGTTATAGAGCACATAACATTGAAATCTGAATTGATTAAAAGCAATTCATTGAGAAATATTAATGTTGTCTTTCTCTCTTCTTTTAAATTTTTATTTTGTCATCAATATGGATGAGTTCATGTATGGGGCATAGTTGCCCTCAGTTTTTTTTGAACCCAATAAACAAATTTCTGAAACTAAAGTGCTGTTTGTTTACTCTAAAAATAGAAGCCATCCTAAATTCTAGAACAAAAATAGAGTTATAAAAATAATAATTAACTTTTTGTTTTGAGAAAATTGTCAGATACTTTTCTTGCTGAAAATACTTTTTTCATATTTCGTTTCCTTAAATACGGCTTGACGTGAGATTTTTCAAGCCTGAAATATCAATTTTGTTTCAGGAAAAACAAAAAATTTTCAGATTAAAAAATAAATGCCCAAGTAACCTATGAAAGCCAAACAGTTTTGCATCAGTAATCAATGTAAATCTCCTTGTTTTATTTTTCATGGTTCAAATAATATTTGAAGTTTGATTTATTTTTGTCGTAAAATTCAAAGAATCAATAAAAAGGACATATTTTTAATTACATTTAATATTTTAATTGATAAGTAGATAAGTAGATCACCCAGTTAAAGTATGATTTGAAACATTTTATTATATAAATATTTTAATCTTTCTTCAATTTCAAGTTAGATTTTTAGTCCATACGTGACCGATACCAACTTTTGCTCTTCTCGTCATTACTTTTCAGAATTGAAATTTAATTTTGGTAAGTTAAAAGTAATTGGCCGATTCTGTTTTCAGTGGTGCAGAGTGCTTGGGGCGGCGATGGCCACAACTGGGGCTACGGCGACCACAATGGTGAGTGAGAGCATGTGTGTGCTTGCGAGGACATACATTTTAATAAACGCGCGGGAACGAGGCATCCAGCATGCACAATATATCATCAATAAGACCCTCGTGATTACACCAACTGGCCTCTGAAGAGGGGACCTTGCCAACCAGAGACAGTACGCATTAACAAGTTATGCTCGCTCGCTTGCAGCAAAACGTATATATCTCGTATACAATACGGACCCTCGGCATTGTCAGACAGACACGACCAATGGGTCGTGATTGAGGAAATTGAAGCGGCCGATTCAAAGGCAATGGCGATAATCCGGCCGGCGGCAGTAAAATGCTGGTGTAAATAAAAACTTATGCGGTTCAATGGCAATGTCGAAGGTCGGCGCTCGTAAATTTCAATGAATGAGAAGAAAATTTCATTTTAATTGGTATATTATTGAAAGTGGCTCGTAAAACAGGATTTACTTTTTTTTTATCATTTTTTTTTACAGACGTGCCAAGATTTGATTAGCGATGACTTTGATTTGATGTTTCAGGACCGAAAAAATGGGCCGGCACGTGCAAGAGTGGACTTTTCCAGTCGCCCATCGACCTGAAGGAAAGCGTCTCGCACCCCAGACACTTTGAACCTTTGGTTTTCTTCCTCTATGACAAGGCGGCCAATGTCACCATGAAGAACAACGGACACACATGTATGTAATAATTTTATCTTCTAATTGAAAAAATTTAAATGAAAACTTGATATTAAGTTATCAATCAATATACATAGATTCGTTGACACAAATGTATTTATAAATTCCAATGCTATCACTAAAAATAAACAAAATAGTTTAAGAAGCATGAAAATTTAGTTAAAAAAGAATTTGACTGAGAAAGTTGCACATATTCATTATGTAATTTAAAAATAAAATTGAACAAAAACATTTAAACAAAATAGGTATATAATTAATATAAACAATTTTATATATAATAAATAATTTGTTAACTAACAATATGCAGTTTGTATTTCAAAAGTTATTCTGATTAATTTTGTTATTTTGACTATAAGTACACATAGATTGACTTTTCACTATTTCTTTCAAAAAAAGACTAATTGTAAGTTAATCAGTCAATATGTCATTTTAATTTTATTATAAATACTGCTGTTTTTATCTTTGATTTTGATTTGAGCAGGATAAGAATTCAATATCAGAGTTTATAAGGGACTAAATGAAATTTAATTTTCTATTCTCCTAAAAATATTCATTTCCGCTGCAAACTTTGGCTAGATCAAATTCTTTTGCTACTCGATCGATAGCTTTGGGAAAATTCCACTTAATTTTATTAACTTGGCTCATTGCGACAAAAGACATTGCGTCTCTTTACCATTTGACTGTTTACATTTGCTGCTACAACAAGAGGCCATTAAACTTTTAAAATCGCGCCGACAAATAAAACCAGAAGTCGCGCGGTTGAATCGAGCCTTGCAGGTGTTGGCGGATTATAATGAAACCGAATGAAACAAAGAAAAAGCGCGGGGGAATCTCTTTCTCTCTTTTTTTATAATTCACGAAACAAAAAGAGCGGTGCGAATTTTTCGGATTGTTTCATTCTCTCCCTCGCCGAGTATTTCATTCGCATCGCAGCCGAAAATAAAGCAATTTGGAGAGAGAGAATGAAATTTGCTGCCAACTTGAGAAGCTGCTGTGGGGGAGCGAAAAGTAATTTGCATTTGAAAACATTCTAATTCAAAAAGCAGCGGCTAACTTTGTAATTTTGCAGCTTTTATTGTTTTTATTTATTTATTTATTTCCTTTTCGCAGTGAAACTGACGTTCGAGCAACCGTGTGTGGCGCAAATGGCAGGTGGAGGTTTGCCAGGCGCTTTTTCCCTGGCGCAAATCCATTTCCACTGGGGCTCCGAGCACACCCTCAACGGAAGAAGGTATACGTGTAATTTGCACTTTAATTTCTTAATTAAAAGAGCGACTGCGTGTGTAAAATTTAACGCTCGTGTAATTAGCCGCCGTAGCTTATTTCTCCGCGGAATTTCGCCGCCTGCATTATGTGCCGCAGAATTCGCGCGCCGCCCCTCAACCACACATATACATACATACATTACGTGTGTGGCCAATTAAAAACGCATTCGGAGGATTAAAAATTTGTGCCGCTTAAGTGCTCAGACGCCACTGAATGTGCGGCATGAAAATTGGTCTAATTGCGCGTGGACAGAAAATGATGAGTTGCAGAATTCTAGCAATATCTGTTGCTTCTGTGACCATTTTTTCAGGGCAGTTATAAAATTTAAAAGTAAAAGAATTTCAGAAAATGAAAAACTTTTTTGTTATATTGGATACATTTTTGATTAATAGAAATTTAGCTGCATAGTTTCATTTGAAAACTTTTGCCTTTGCTTTAACTTCTGAAGATTTGGAACACAAAAAATCAAAAAAATTTACTGTACCGACTCAAAAACTATAGTTTAATAAATAAAGGAATATATTAATTTTTTGCTTATAGATTAATTATAAATAAATTACAAAATGGTGCTAAAATTTTCAAATTTTTTAGTGTGGTAATTTAATTATTTAGGAAACCCTGCGCAAAAACCTTTCATGGGATTTTTGTGAATACTTTACTCTCTGGCAATTAGAGTTTTTAAGAAAGAAAAGCCTATGGAAAGTTAGTAGTTAAAGACGTGCTGCTTCTTTTATAGAAGTACTTAAAACTTTAAAAATTATTAATTATTTATGGGAGAAAAATTAAAAGTAACGAAAAGTTATCATTTTTTTTTTTTTTTAGATTGCTTAATTTTTTTCTACTCAATTTTTTCACTTCCCTCTCTCACTTGACGTGTGTAAAGAGTTTCAATAACAGTTCATTGTTGTGGCGCCACCCGCCAAATTCAACGATGAAAAATGAACGTGCACTCAATGACTTGCAAAATAAAAATTCGCAGCTGATCTCAAGTAGTCTGACTGAATTGAGGCTGCGGAGACGCGGTTCGGTCTAATTGCCCGAATTGGTTGCCTATACATGTTCAGTTCACAAGTCGAATTTATTCACTCGGACCTGTTACTCGCTTTATGTGGCTGTAAGCGGCGGCGGCGGCGGCGGCAGAGCTCTCTGTGCGTCGTCAAAAGGGCTCGAAAGGTCAAACACCATGATTTATTGTGCGCGCCGACACACACAAATTCACACAGGCATTAAAACTGCTCGGTGTCGCGTGCTGCTGTGTGAAAAGCTTTGAGTGAGGCAGTGGCGGACTCAAAAGAATTGTGTGCGCCACCCATAACATTTGCAGCCAAAAGTAAATATTGCCGCAGCAGCAGGTCTTTGTCGTCGTTCGCTCTCTCGGAAGTGTATTTTGCGCTTTTCGGCGCGGCCATTTTTCAGCCTTTCAATTAGAATGGGGGCTGAGAAAAGTTGGCAAAGAAATGACTTGTTGCGCAAATATTAGGAGATTAATTGTTGGAAAATGATCTTTCTTTTGATAAAGAAAGTATTTGAACAACTCAAAGCTTGAGAGAAGTTACAAATTTTGAGACAAAATTTTTCCATAACTTTAAATTCGAACAAAATTGTCAGAAAATTGGTTCTGACCCTTTTCGGCTACCTTTTTAGATTTTCTTTTCTAAACTTTTTACTCTTGCAATTGCAGGTACCCTCTGGAAGCGCACTTTGTCCACTACAACCATAAAAGATACGACAATATCGGCAGCGCTGTTGGCAAGGAGGACGGTTTGGCTGTGCTCGGAGTATTTTACGAAGTACGTATAAACTCAAAAAAGGAAAGGCTATTTCAATAAATTCTAATCAAACGTTGCAGGAGACCAGCGACGACGTGGAGAACGGAGTTGTGGACAAATTGCTGGATCACTTAGCGGAAGTGAGTGCCGAGGGTGCAGAGTACAGAATTCGAACTCAGATGAAGGCCGAGGAGTTGTTTCCCGAAAGCACGGACAAGTTCTTCAGGTACAGAGGCTCGCTCACCACCCCCGAGTGTAACGAGGGCGTGCTGTGGACTGTGCTGGAAATGCCAGTTCCCATCTCAATGGAGCAGGTAATGATTTTCAATAAAAAAAAGTAAAAATGGTTGTATATTTGAATTTTACTTTAACTTCGTTTGGTAAATTGAATAAAATTCATTTTAATCATTTATTAATTTTAGTCGATTTTAATTTAAAATATAAGAATAAATAATTATTATTTGGGCCAAGTTATGAAATTTTATTAACGAATCTTGTGAAATTTTGCATTAAAATTACACTTATTTTTTGATAATCTCAAATATATTTCCAAAACTAGATAAAACTCCAATTTTTCCAGCGCTAAAAATTTCTTTGCACGCGCATCAAAATTAACTTATAATTAGCACCTTGAAAGTCACAAATGAACCCAAATTTCAATATGATGTCGAGGGAAAATTTTTACTATATTATTTTGTTAACGTTGCTATTCTACGTGTCTGCATTTTTACCACTTCATCCATTTTCGCCTAGTTGGCACTTTGCACTTAAGTAATGCATCACCCTGTCGACAGGTGGAGAAATTCAAGGGTCTCAAGTCCAAGAGCGGCCAGATTGAGGAGAACTTCCGTCCAGTCGAGCCGCTAAACGGTCGCAATCTGTACCGGCGGTCGACCCACAATGGCGCACCTTCTTCGACCACTTCATCACTGTCACTCATTGCGGCCGGCTTTGCATGGTATTTTCTGCTGGCCACCAAATTGCCCTGAAGTCGCCCTCGTGATGAGTGTAGCCATGCATCACAATTAACTAGCCCGCAGAGTGATGGCCACCCGCAAAACAAACGATGCCAAATTTTAATGAAATAGAGTATAAAAGCGCTTTTCTAGTTTACAAAGCTTCAACGCATAACGAATAAAACTATTTTTAAATCTACTTTAAATTTTAAGGTAGCGACGATGACAAATAAAGATTTTTGCATGTTCTCTTGAAGTGTCAAATTTTAAAATATACTATTGTATAGAAATTTTACGCGTGTTGTTTGAAGTTTGCAAAGCTTTTGTGATGAGATTCAAAGTATATAAATACAAGCATTTGAAAGCAGGGAAATTGTTTTGGAGAGAGATTTTATCGTCGTTGTGAACAATTATTTTCCTAACAAGTTGAGCGATATAATAAATTATATGCTGAGCTTTTAATTTGAACCTTGTGGAATTTAATTAGAGACCACCCGAAAAGAAAAACTATCTCCACCCATATTGTCCGCGGAACGAACGAATTGATTAAAATTGCCGGCGTGGAAAGAGAGAGGAAAATGAAAACGGCGAAAAGTCGGCGACAGATTTATTAAGAGAGGGGGCGAGAGAGAACGGCCCTTCACTTAATTCCTAAGAAAATTGCCTCAGTTTGTCCAAATTATTCGCACCCTCTTCCTTCCCAACGGGAAAAGTGCATTAAGAGCTGCACTCGCCGTCCTGCCTGGCGGTTATGCCAACCCGCCCGACGCCGGCAAGAAATTGAAAGCCTACCCGTCCAGGCGCTCTTTCTCTCTTAATCTCCAGCTGTCGCTCTTTTTTAATTCAATTAAAACCGAATGAAATTAATGTAAAACTTTATTTCGTGCGACTTTCTCTTCAGTTGTGTGCAATCATCGTCGGCGGAAAATAAACTTCTTCTTTTTTGAAAGAGAGGGTGCGTGCGATTTAATATCCAGAGCAGCTTCTCCTGTCACGAATCGAGAGAGAAGAGAACTATTCGCCCAACTCTCTTCTCGTCGGGCCTGTGAAATTACTTTTCGCAATTAAATCTTGCCGAGTACGCCGCCGTGCTGTCATCCGTGTTTTTGAGCGCCCTTCGCCTCTCTCTAGGTACATTCTAATGTGACACATACAAGTTTTAATTGCAATTAAAAGTGGCATGAATATCTGCTTTTGATTTTGATAATAACGCCCGCACAGACTCTCCTCTCGTCCAACTTCAAATGATAATAATCATTAGGCTCTGCGATTCCTCTCGCGGTCGGGTGTAGCACTTCTCTCTTCTCTCCTTTAATTGTTATTACCGTTGCCGGCAAACCCCGAAATCAGTCGCTCGGAAGGGTTAAGTGACTGCGAAACGACCTAACCGGGCAGTTAATTTCGAATTTAACGCTTTTCCCTCCTGAAAACGCTGCGCTCTCCTGAAAAACGATTTCGTCCGGGAGAGTCGACTTCTGGGGGCAGCCGCCGCTTCCTGCAAAATCCCCCGGGACGTTCTAGGCAAGAGTGGTTTTTCGGAAATGGATAGTCGTCGGGGGAAAATATCACTCGAATTGGGGACTCTGCTTGCAGGGGGTAAATAAAAACAAAGCCTGAAGAACTAAGCAGGTTCGGACACAAATTCCACTTAAGAGGAGAAGCGCGAGATTTTGGTTGCCTGTAGATAAGAGGTTTGAGATTAAAATCAGACCATTTTTAGCATTTAAAATAAATTATAAAATTTGTGTTTTGATAGGAAAAAACATAACAAAATGTTTTTAACTGTATTATATATTTATTGTATAATATTTAATTTATATTTGTCAATTTAATTTATTTTAATTTTATGTAAATTAAATTTTATTTATTTAAATTTATATATATTATTTTAATTATTTTTTAAAATAGTTAATTTATAATGTTTTTATTTACAAATTTTATCTATAAATATTAAGAGTCATTAAATTAAGGGAATGTCAAATAATTTATTCATAAATTCGCTACGCAGCTGTCATATTTCTCCATTAATTTACAAATTAATAATGCTCTAGGTTCTCGTACTTGTTCAATGATAGAATACAAAATAGTTAAATTTAAATTATAAATTCATAGAGCTTCCTTGGTTGAATCTAAATTTTCACGCGTGTTTTCTTTCATGTGTCTTTCTTTCTCTTGGCTGCCACTTAGGGAATAACAAATGAGCTGTTTGACAATAATAAATTTCCGAAGTGAGAAAAAAACGCATATGAGGTAGGGGGCGTCGTGTCGGAATTCTTTTCCGCGTGCAAGTGTGTGCGCGAGGTGCTAATATATAATATCAAATATTGACACTTTCGTTCTGGTAAAAAAGCAATTTGTGAGCTCGTCGGTCGTTTCACAACGCGTGCTCGGCGCTATGCTGGCGAGAGAGAGAGAGAAGAGAAGAAGAGGAAGGCGCGCATATTTTCACCCGCGCGCAGCAGCACACGGGGGGTGCTTTTTGTTCTCCAACATTTTTGGGGCCCCGTGTGCGAAGAAGTGTGCGTCGTCCAGGCCAGGGTGAAATATTATTGCGTGCGCTCCAAGGGGGTGATCCGAGCGAGGCAAGGGTCGTGTGTGTGCTGCCAATGGGGCGGAACTCGCCCCACGAGTTGCGAGTCACGCACTATCTCAATAACCGGCAGCCTGCGAGAAGGATGGATGCTGATCCTTGGCAAATAATTTATCGCCTTTTAATCTCGCTGGCGACGTTTTTAGCATATTGATGGCCCTGCCGAGCGAGAGAGCGGCTGGCGCGTCTCGGCGGCGTTTCGCGCCTCGTCTCATAAATAATATTTGCCTTTTGCTCCTGTTTCGTAAAATTTTCCGCTCAAACATTTGCTTTGCATTTAGCATCGATATTTGCCTTTCCTTCTGGCGCAAATAAGCGAAATACACTCGTATTTATGCACTTTTCAAAACTTTAATTTGTTCACAAAAATAATTTATTTATTCATTCGAACAGTCCCTATTGATTAAATTATTTATCTTTGAATCCCAATATTGACTTAATTGATTTTAATTTCGTTGAAATTAGAATTATTTTTACATAGAAGAAAATTTCACGGCAGAGGGCTATGTCATAATTATGGTAGTAGAATTTCAATCCTGCTTTTCCTATGTGAGTTTGTGAGAGAAATTCATTGTTTAATTATTTTGTGAAACAAAACAAGAAAGAAAAACTAATTGACCCATTGAGGAAAAGTAGATTTTAATACAAATCATTTAACAGTTTTCGTTATTTCTTTGTGAGTGAAATCTTTTGTGTTTGAACTTTTAGGTGTATTCAAGTTTCAATTTTCAAAAGAAATTTAATCAATAGAATTAAAAAAAGGAGCGAGAAAAAAACTAAGCTCTAAAGCAAATATAAATACATTCGAAACTGTATTTTTTTATTAATTATATTAAGATTAGTTTTAGCTCGTATGAATATTTTAACTCTCTCAGCACTCTTCCACGTTAAATGAGGACCTTTTTAATTTACTCCTTATTGCAAGAGGGAGATGTTTTTTGCTTGAATATAAATGCCAAAGCCAAACTTTTAAATGACAATCTCAATTCTCCCAATAATAGAAAGAAGTTTTGTTGTAGATATTTTTCTATTTAAAAACTATCAAAACATAAAAGCAATTAATAATCATGGTGTCGCCGTTCCCATTTGTTTTTAAGTTTTTAAAAAGAAATGTAAATTTATGAAAGCTAAATTTAAGAATGTTAAAAATTGAGATTGATTTTTCTATTTATAATAGTGATGAAAATTTGGTCCTTTAAATTTGTTTCCAGAGCATAAAATGTCATTCTCGATCAGTTGAAAAGAATTCAAGTTAAATTTTTTCGGTATAAATTTTAATTTTTCTAAACACGAACAACATATTTTCAGCTTTAGTTGGATTGTATCTGATTTAAAAGTTTCCGACTTATCTCGATATGTTTTTTTCCTGTCAGTGCTGTTGCTCGATTCGAGATTTTTCTCGGCTGTCTCTTGGTGAGTGGCAGTAGCCGTACCCTTTGGCAGGCGCACTTTCAAATCTTTCTCATGAAAGAAAGAACGCGCGCGTGGTGCACACAAGGAAGAGAAATAAATTCCCAAGTCGCACTTTCCTTTTCAAAGGAGTCCCGTTTCATCCCCTGAGGTTGAACCACCCTTAAAACTGACGTCACGGCAACAACCCTCGTAGCAATAATCATAACAGTAGGGAAGCGAAAAGGACTCTGCAGAGGAGAGCGAGAAGTTAAACATTTCCGCTGCTGCTCACTTCTCTTCTTATATGGGAGCATTTTGGAGTAAATTCTATTATGTATAATTGGCTGACTTTCAAAGTGTGTGTTTTGAGTTTTACGAAACTTTGTTTACATAACGTAATGAAATTTAAATTGATTCAGAGAATTCCGGTAATTTGTTTCACAAATAGCCTGCGGACTAAGATAATATACATTATGCTACGTTTTACAAACAATGAATCAAATTACACGTGCGTCATTCTATTCAAAAATGACTGTGAATGAAATTTAGATTGTAATGAAAATATTCATTATGGTAAATTGAACGCTGGTTACAATGAAAAAATATTATACTTTTAAAAGTAAAAAGTTGGCTCTAAAAACATTTTCTTAAATAGAATTGGAAAGATTTTTATTTTAAATTGAATTATGCAAAACTACAGTAGCGATTATTTAAAATATTTTTATTTCACTATATTATCGTAAATAAGTGTTTTTAAAAATATTTAATTGTTTTTATACAGAGAGACAGTTAGATAAAATATCAAACGCCTTTTAAGCGCTCACCCTTTTAGCGAAAATAATAGCGAACCAAATAATTGTTACTTTTTATTATTTGATTTTATAATTTAATATTCTTTAACTTTGCCATGACAATAATAGATGGTATTAAGTAAAACTGAAAAATTTTACAGCTAACGATCAATAAATTTTATCATTATTAGAATAATGTCATTGCTTATTGGTTAAAAAAAAAATATCAAGTCATAAATAAATTCTTGTAAGCCCAGAGTCTCATGTAAATAAAACTCTATATATTTGTTTGCCAAAAAAGTTTTATTGAGCTTTTTGAGACACGTCGTTGCCATAAGGTTTTGATACGCTCAGTCCGCTGAAGTGGTGTGTGTTATTGATAAAAATTTGCTTTTCGATGCGAGTATTGGCTCTCGGGAACGGACGGACATTGGCCACGCTCCAGTAGAATATTCCACTGGGGACACAAAGCAGAGGGTCGATTCGTCTCTGTGGAATCCGAAAGACAACAAGGATTTCTTTCGGGGCGAAAAGAAACTCTCTCTCTGTGTGGCGGGATATCAAGAAATTTACGACTACGACTCTGACAAAATGTACACACACTGCGTTCTTGAGAATACGATAGCAAGGAAGGCACTTCCGACGCGACAAATGGTCAAGTTCTTGCACTATATATATACTGACTAAAGAGTATATTTAAAAAAAAACACAAAAAAAAACAGATAAAAACGGTTAATAAATAAAATATATAGGATAGAAAATGTGATAAAATTGGAAATGAACTGCAGTTGCAATAATGGGAGGCTGGTTACAAATTTTGATATTTTTACCATTTTGTTGCAAAATTTTTTAAGTTTAATGTTTACATAATAATAATTATAAAAATAAAATTAGCAAAACTGTTGATTACCAAAGGAAATTGACATAATGAGATTATGTCTCGATAATAATGGCAACCACCTGCAAAACTCTTAAATTTTTCTTTTAACACAAATAACTAAAAAATATTATTATAATTTTATAATTTAAGTGAAAAATAAAAAGCTTAGATGATAGTAAGTACAAAATGATTATATAAATTTTAAACTGAATTATTAAATAAAATTAAAAAGTAAAATATTTACAAATTATTGTTTAAAATAAGTTTATAACATGAAAATTTTAAAGTAGTTTTTAAAAGTTATACCAAATTAACAGTTTTAAAAATTTGTTTTTTTCCTGCTACACTCGTTAGCATTTTTTTAACGTTAAACATATTTTTACATTGGAAAATAAACTTTTGATGTTAATCTTGTAAAAATAAGTAATTTAATTTTTATTTCTTCATGCAAAGCTAGTATAAGGAACATTTGAATATTTGAAACAACGTGCCGCCACGTGAGTCAAAGTGATTTGAGCGTAGCTCACCGGTCGGTCGCGGCAAGTCGCGGTTGTTCGCCGAACGGCAACGCAAAGCGCGGAAGGGGAAAACACCGCTGGTTCGTTCGCGAGGCGGCCGGCGAGCGTGAGAGAGACACGGCGGCGGAGGGGAATTCTTGCATAGCAACTGTCTGCTCCAATCTTTTTCGTGCTGCAACTGATAAAGCAAAGGCAGCAAAAGAGCCGCGGACAGCCGGCCGGCTGGACGCTTTCAGTAAATTTTTATATTTTTTATTCAATAAAACGAGTATTTATTCAAAAATTAACAGAAAGAGAAAAAAGTAGCAAAAAAATAAATAAAACGATTTATTTTTTTAACGTGAGACATTTTCATGCTTTTTTCGGGAGTCGTAATTTTCCAGCCAAAGCTAAGCACCGGTGGGAAAATAAATTCGAAAGCCGGGCGGTGCACCTGTGCACACAGAGCCGATATAGCATGGCCAGGCCGCGTATATTCCCTTTTTGAGTGACCGCCGAGTTCGCTCTCTCGCTGTCTCCAAGGGCCCCGGTCTATTTCGGTACGGGCGGCCGAGTCGCGTTTGACGCATCTTTCTGCTTTCAGGGCCCAAATTCAGTCTCGAAGAGGACAAAACGTCCATCAGGGGGTGGAACGGCGCCCGGAAATCACCCTGAAGAGGAAAAAAGCCGAGTCAATTCGTACATACGCGTTCAGTTTGCCGCCATTGTGTTTGAAAAGGTGGCCGGCGGCGGCGCTGGCGTCGCGGCGCGGCCAATCGCGCACGCCAGTTGCGGGCGACTTGTGTGTCTGTCTGCCATGTTGAGAAGTCGTTTGTGTTTGGGGCGTGCATCTGGTCGGTGTATTGGGCTGGTGCGGCGCGATCTCAGTGAATGATGTCCCGAGTGCTTGTGTAGCGGACGAGCGCAGTGCACGATGGTGACGGCGCCGCCGGCCGGCAACGACAACGGCATTTCGGCAGCAGCAGCAGCGAACTCGAAGCACCTCTCGTCGGCGGCCGCATCCCGTCGTCGTCTCCTCTGCCCAGCAACACGAAGAATGCGCCCCGATTTGTGTTTACATACATGTGTATGGTGATGTTACTGTCTTAGGCGATGAAGCATTTACGTGTTTAGGAAATTTGCAATTGAGCAGCAGCAGCCGCACCGCTGAAAAATATCGGCCGCCGACCGCACCACGCTCGCGCCTCTGACCGACCTTCTTCTTTATTTTGTCCCCGTGCTTTTGACCCGAGAGAGCTGGTGGGCGAGTCCATTGTCGCGCCGAGCCAGGGGGTGCGCCGCCGCCGCCTACTTGCAGCACCAGCCATGGACGCCGTCGGACGTCCGACCTTGTGATACACACACGCCAGGAAGAATTGAATTTTTTCCCCTGCTGTGAGTGCGGTTGATTTTTTTTAGATAGATTTAAAAATAAATTAATCGCTGAGCAAATTAGGAAGGAAGAAAACATTTTCGGTCTTCGGGGCTTCGGACAGGCCTGCGGCAAGAGCATGGGCCATGTCCAATGGTTGTGTGCCTGCTGATCGCCGTGCCCGTGACGCTGCCACCTCGCGAGGTGCCGCCGACCAGTGTCCAAGTGGTGGTGGTCCGAGTGCTCCTCAACTACACCCCCATGGAGGCGTCCGCGGCCGCCGCGACCACGGCCGCCATTCAGGCCAAACGGCCCGCCGACTGGCATAAGCAACTTCTCATCATGGACAAGCAAAAAGGAAAACGTGAGTTGAATTTTTTTCTATTTTCATTGTTTGTTTTCGTCCGAGCTCGGGGGCGGATCCGAGCCTGGCCAAACTTGACCCCGATTCCCGTTTCCGGGTCGCACGCTAAATGATAATAAAATTGCTGATTTTTTTGAATTTGGAAAGTTTTATATTATTTGATTTTCTTGCAGTTTTCGCGCCGCCTTTGAAATGTGAACGGTATTGTAGTCTGATAGCCGACGTGACCTACTTAGACATTGTCCGAGAAGTATGACTGAAAGTAATTGAAGTTGTTGGTTATTTGATCTCGATCGTGTTCACTGCGGTGAATTCTACTCGATTTGCATTTCAGACGAGGCGTTGATAAAAAATTTTGGCGGTAAAAGTTAATTTTTTTGTTAATTGAATCAATTGATTTTGAATAATTCTAAATTAAAAGAAAATTTGAAGTAAATTAGCAGGAGAAAAATGTAAAATTTATTATTTAACGAATATTTGATTTTGGTAGTTATTGATATAATTTAAATATTTTAAATGATATAATTATTATAATTTAATAATCAAGCTAACGGCGAATCTAAATTAATAGTTTGTTAACTCGTATAAATTTTTATAAAGATTTACACGAAAATGGCGAATATCATTAATGATGAGAATAATTCAATTTATAATTTAACAGATTTATAAAAAGATTTAGAATACTATTCCAAATTGTAATGGAAAGAATATGACAAAATCTTAAATTTTTCTTTATTAAATTTCTCATATATTTTTTCATTTTACTTTTGCTCAATCCGAATGTTTTCAATTGAATTTGAATAATTAAAAATCAAAAGAAAAATTTGAGTAAATTAGGAATAGAAATGCACGATTTATTATTGTGACGCTCAAATTAAGTAATTAATTTTGAAAATTTCTGATATAATTTTAATGAAATTATTTAAGAAATATATTAACCCCAAACAAAAGTTGTAACAAGGATTGAAAAAAAAAATGCTGAACATAATAAAATGATGAGGACTTAATAAAATTAAAAATTAGGCTGATTTTTAAAAAATTTACAAAATATTAATAAAAAAATAAAATGTATATCTGACAAACATTGAACTAAATTATAAAATTTTCAGTAAATATAAAATTTCTCATGTATATTTTTTATTTACTTTGGCTCAATCCAAATGTTTACAACTCCTTTATTTACAATTTCCCTTAAATTCTGGAGCCTCAAATAAATATGATTTATTTTAATACAAATTGTTTCCGAACGCTCTTGGCATTTCACACTAATTGCCGTGTTATCAAATTTGTTTTCCGGCCATTAAATGGAAGCAGCTGATCGCACCCCTCACACAAAGGGCTGCGGTAATTCACCTTGCGCTCTCTCTCGCCCGCCTAGCAACAATTTTGTTTTTAATCCGAGCGACCCTCCCCCGAACGAGACTGTCACTCACGTGGGGGTGGAACAACTTTCCGATGCAGCGTGCGTTAGTTAACAACCACCCTTCCTTTGCTAATCAGGCCTCGCCGAGAAGCAGCAAAAAATAAAACTCAATCTCGCGCGGAAGTAATTGAAAAGTGCTTATCCTCACCGCAATAGATTTCGGCTGAAAATACGGTGAAAACTTCTTGTTGGTGACCGTTTTTTTTTTTCAATTCCAAAGCGGATTTTGTGCACGTGACCGCAAAGGTGATAATAAGCCAGTCACATTTCTAACATTTTTTTAAATCTAGGCACAGAACATCCTGTTGAGAGTCAGGTGCCAAATTTTTTACTCATTTGCTCACTCCGAACTGATTGAATGGAAAGAAATGAAAATCTATAGTAAAAATAAAATCACCGCAAAATTTATTATTTAATAAATTTTAATGTGAATAAAAATCATTTTAATTTGACAATATTTCACAGAATTTAGTGTTTGCGAGAATAATAAAAGATTACGTGAACAAGCAGGATTTGAATTTCGCTCCCTCGGGAATTTCAATCTTTGTTTTATTTGATTAGTGGTTTTTTGAGCATGTATCGCGTCCGTGGAAATATTTCATCTCAAAGAGGAAAATTACCGTGTTTGTTTTCCTTGTTTGGCAGACAAACAGACGTTGGTCTTTTTGAGCGGGAAAACGTCAAGCTTGCGAAAATTTGTCAACCACCGTAGCGGCTCGGATAATTTACAAATTGTAACAGCGAGAAAAAATGTAACGCAATATAAATTACGGCGTTTGTGTATTTTGGGGAATTTCCAAGTAAAAGGAAACCAAATAAATCGCTCTCCGTGTTTCTTATCGCACGATAATCCAGACTAAATTTTTAATCTCTATTAGAAAATTTATTTAATTGGGCTTCCAATTAATTTTTTTTATATTTCATTAATTCTTAATTGCTACTAAAAAAATTTTAAAAGAGAAACATTGAATTATTAGACACCAACACATGCAATAAATTGGCTGCAACTTCCGAGATAAAAAAGACCTGATCCGCCGCAGTGATTCTCAATTGCATGATTGTATTCAAAGTAATTTACATTTATTTTTAATTATCAAAACAGATGTTCGCCATAATTACTGTACTTATCTTCCTCAGTTGTAATCAAATAATTTAGTGACTGGAGGATTTTTTTTTCAATTATTATTATCGCTTTTTTCCATCTGAATTGAATTCTAATAAAATATTCGGAAATTTTCATAAACAATTCCATTTATCTATTTTCTGTTTAAATTACATTTTAATGCAAATCGTGTAAAAATTTCCTAAGTGAGACTAATCCCCCGGCAGGGGATGCAAATTGGAGCGGTGTGCGCAATCAGGGTGGATTTGTCGTGGCGACCGGTTGCCTAATTTAGACCAAATCCCTTCTGCGGGCGAGTCTTTTCGGTCGTGTGTCTTAGACGAGAACGAACGAACGTGTTGTTGTTTTTGGTGCTGCAGAGCGAGCGAGCGAGAGATGAAGTGGGCTTATAAATATGAGTAGGAAGCCACCTGCTGCTGGCGACCGACAGCCCGCCCTCCGCTCGCCGGGTCACAGCCTCCTTCCGTCGTCGGTAGGCGTTCAATATTGTAAGGCCGACGACCACCCACCTTCCCACCCACCCACCCCGCGCCGCCGCTTGCACAAAATTGCAGCCGTGAATGCACTTGTTCGTTCGCTCGCCTCTCCGCACCCACCTCGCTGACAATCGGCTCGCGCTGCCAACTTTCTCCGGGCCTACTCAATCGATGGGCTCCGTTTTTGCGCCGCCGATTCTCGAGAGCAGCCAGACGTGGACCGAGGAATGATGGATTCGGTGGTTGAAAGAGGAAAATCGGAAAACGCGGCGCTTTTGTCGGGACCACAATGAGCTATCGAAAGATGATTATTTTTCAACCGTACCTGAAGTCAAGTGAAAACGCAAAATACCGCCGAAGAAGATGTTTTCTAAGGAATAGTGTTGCATTATTTTAAGTTAAATTTATTTTCTACACACTGAGCTCCTTTTGAAGCCGCTCCTTTTTATTAGTATACTAATTATATTAAAATTATAAGTTTACTAAAGGAAAAACTCATAAGAATAATAGTCATTAAAAGGAATGTTCGCGAAAGCAATGCATTACGATTTAATGCTGCAAGTTTTTGTCACTAATAATGTAGGTAAATATTTATTTTTCCCGTCATTTGGCCAAATTTGAAGAATTATATTGAAATTATCAACAAGGAATTAAAATTTTAAATCTTTCAAATTGAAAATAATAGTACGATAAATTTGTATAGCTTTTAATTATATAAAATTATAATTTTATTTTATCTCATCAAAAATTCAAAATCTTAATTTAATGTTAGAGAATTAAAAAAAAAAATTATAACAGTTCTTTAATTTTCTGTGTTTAATACTAGAAAAAAAACAAGCTTGCAATTTTAATGAATTAATTGGTCCATATGGGCATCATTTTTTGGCTCCCATTCAACAAAAAACACGTTGAAATTCAAAATATATAGTAATACTGCAATAATATGACTAATTAAACTTATTCTAAATGATTGTATTAATGGCATCGGGAGGTTCAGACTTAATTCAGTTTTTTCTGAAAAGTTTGAAAACATGGATTTAGCTCCTTTGAAAGAGTTCGCAGCGAAATTCAACAAATAAATCACATTAGATTTTTAATATTTATAAATAATGGAAATTTATATTTAGAAATTATTGCACCAAACTTAGAGCGATAAGGTTTGATCATTATTGAAAAAAAGAAAATGAAATTATAGCATGAGGAACAAAATTACCAGGCCCATTTTTGAAATATCAAACCATGCAAAGGAGCCAGTTTACTAAACAATTACGAGCAACAATTGGACTTTCATAACAACGTATTATTTATTGAACAATATAATAATGCGGATTATTCCGTGAAGAAATTGATGTATTTAAAATAGATAACAAAATTAATCTTTAATTGAATTTGTTATATTTTCAAATGAATTTTATTAAGTTATTCTTCTTTTTGTAATGAAATATTTTTTCATCCAAATTTCCTCCGATTGAAAAAAAAATTGTAATTTGAGACTGGTATAAATTTGATTTATTTTTGTACATGACCAGTATGGGCCGGGAGCATTTATTTTTTTTTATTTTTGGCGGCGTTGTGTCCGGGAGGAGTCCGCCGGCGGGTGGATCTTCGTGAAGCGTGACCTCGTGCCTTCGTCTTCTTCTTCATCTGGCGTCGTGTCTTTCTCTCTCTCTTTATGTGCTGCAGCCGGGTAACGAACTCAAGGCCCGTCCGTCACACTCGAGCTGGCAAAACCTTGTGCGCGCTCGCTGCTTTTCTTCTCTCGGCCGTTGCTGCCGACTCGCAATAATCACCTTGATTTACTGTCTGCCGCGCGCGAGCGATAATCCACTTTGCACCCCCGTCGCATGTAAGCGTAATCGCGGTGCGCAAACATGCCATGTACACATGCTGCTCTTTTCCATTCGGAGCGCGGCGGAGAGAAAGAAAGAGAGACGCAATCCGAGAGAGACGGTTTTACGTTTCATCCAGGGTAAGCCGA